CAAAATGTCGGGAAGCGAGCACAAATTACAGAGACCCAAAAGCCTACACGAGTCTTCACATCAACGGTGTCTGAAAGCAACAACACAGTAAATAAACATGCAAACGAGCACGTAAAGGACAACTATAAGTAAAAATCACACAAAGAAAACAGTCCGCCATTCATCGCTCGATAAACACGTCACACGATCTCTCACGCAGAAATAAATAAACACGAACCAATATGGAAGAACTAACAAGCCATGGATAGTAACCGATCCAAGTATCCATCGACATTCCAAGGCAAAAGTTTAGCTATTTAAACAAAATAAAATCCACTGCGGATACTCTCCATCGATCAAAAGTGACTGTTTAGGGGACATGAGGTTCTTGAAAGGAGACAGACTGCCTGAAAGCTGGTGCGTGGTATTTGACAAGCCAGAGAGAGAGAGAGAGAGAGAGAGAGAGAGAGAGAGAGAGAGAGAGAGAGAGAGAGAGAGAGAGAGAGAGAGAGAGAGAGAGAGAGAGAGAGAGAGAGAGAGAAAGAGATAAAGAGAGAGAGAGAGAAAGAGAAAGAGATAGATACAGAGAGAAAGAGAAGGATACTGAGAAAGAGAAAGAGAAAGAGAAAGAGAAAGAGAAAGAGAAAGAGAGAGAGAGAGAGAGATATTACAAGTGTGATTCAGTCCTACTAGTACTGTATCACATCCGAGAGTAAACTGAGGAACTATAGCGTCCTTTTCTTCGTGTATCGTGGTAGGAAGGTGGGGGGGGGGGTGCACACTGTCTCTGGGACGGAAAGGGAAAATGAGGAAGAGGACACGGAGGAGAAAAAATCGAGGAGAAAAAGAGGAAGAGGAAAGTGAGAAGGAGGAACAAGACTAGGACAAAAGAAGAAGAGGAAAAAAAAGGAAGAAAAAGAGGAAGTGGAAGAGAAAGAAAAGCAGAGAAAGGAGAAACACAAAGATAACGATGACGATGAAGATGAGGAGGAAGCGTGGAGCAGGAGAACTAAAAAGAGAAGAAAAAAGAAATAAAGGGAAAGGAGAGAGGAAATGAGCAGAAATGCATTACATTGTGAAAGTTAGAGAAGAAATAGGACATGGAACAAATATAGAAAATAAAAGGATGTGCTCAATCACCGCAAGTTGTGAAAGGGAAACGAAGGAAGAGGGAGAGGGAGAAGGAGAGGGGGAGGGAGAGGGGGAGAGAGAGAGAGAGAGAGAGAGAGAGAGAGAGAGAGAGAGAGAGAGAGAGAGAGAGAGAGAGAGAGAGAGAAAGAGAGAGAGAGAGAGAGAGAGAGAGAGAGAGAGAGAGAGAGAGAGAGAGAGAGAGAGAGAGAGAGAGAGAGAGAGAGAGAGAGAGAGAAGACAGAGAAAGACATAGAGACAAAGAGATAAAGAAACACAGACAGACAGACCGAGCGAAGCTTAGATAAGGAGAAAATAGATAGAGCTGAGACAGAGTAACAGGCCCAAAGAGAGAAAGACCGAGAGAAAGATCCCCAGAGCGGGGCAGTAATTAATCCTCATGAGACGTAACTCCCTCATTACGCACGAGACTTGCCTCATACACCGACTCACCGCGGCTAAAAAAACCTTTCCTCATCATCAATCTCCACTTTATTCCATCCCCTCTATTCCTTCTTTTTCATTTTATTTCATCCTCTCTATGCCTTTCACTTTATTCCATCCCCTCTATTCCTTCTTTTTCATTTTATTTCATCCTCTCTATGCCTTTCACTTTATTCCATCCCCTCTATTCCTTCTTTTCCACTTTATTCCATCCCCTCTATTCTTTCTTTCCACTTTATTTCACCCTCTCTATTCCTTCCATTTTACTCCATCTCCTCTATTCCTTCTTTCCATTTCATCCCATTCCCTCTTCTATCCGTGTCTTTTTTCTTCTATTTCTATCTATCGTCCCCGCCGATTTCTTTTCTATATCTTCTATTCTCACCCACCGTCTATTCCTAAGTACTATCATTCAGGTGGAGGAGAAGGAAGAGGAAGAGGAAGAGGAAGAGGAAGAGGAAGAGGAGGAGGAGGAGGAGGAGGAACACGTAAAATCGGAGGAGGAGACGGAGAAGGAGACGGAGGAGGAGAAGGGGGAAAAGGAGGAGAAAGGAAGAAGGGGAAGAGGAGCAGGAAAACAACGACGTAGCACTGGAAGAGGAGGAAAAATCGAAAGAGGAAGAGGAAGAGGAAGAGAAGGAGGTGGTGGTGATGGAGGAGGAGGAGGAGGAGGAGGAAAAAGGAGGAGGAGAGTTACGAGTGCAGTTACGGGCAGCATTGTCAGGAGTGTCAGTCTCACTTGATCTCAATTTATATGACAAGGAGAGACGGGGGGGGGGGGGTAGTGTTAATACTACACTCAGCACAATACAATTTGTGAATTCAAGCAGAGTAGCAATGCATATACTGAGACTGCATGTAGCCTGCATCCACAAATATATATATATATCAAGGCATAAATATCTACATAAACACATTCATATATACAAAAACGCTATTATACTCTCAA